TCAGACTTACCAAGACACTCATGTCAGACAGATGATTCAGGACAGACTAGGAGAGCTGGGAGGGCATGGAATGCTGTTCTACAAATTCTTAAAGACCACGGATACCAACCCAGGCTATTATATGGAGCACAACTGTCAGTTGTAATAGAAGGAGAAAGGAAAGATTTTTGTGACAGAAACAGATCAAAGGGCTCTCAATAGTAACCATCTTAATTCCCAATAAAAAGACACAGACTAAAGGACTGGATCAGAAAACAGATCCATCTTTTTGCTGCCTCCAAGAAACACACCTCACCATCAATGATTGATATGACCTTAGGGTAAAAGGATAGGAAGAGTACTCTAAACAAATATAACTATGAAATAAGCAGGTGTAGCTATTCTAACAGCTGACAAAATAGACTTCAAACTAAAACTAGTCAGAAGAGGTAGGGAAGGATATTTTATACTCATTAAAGGAAAAATCCACCAAGAAGATATTACAATCCTAAATATATATATGGACCTACACAGGAGCACCCAACTTCATTAAAAAAAACAACACTCTTAGATCTAAAATCACATATTGACTCCAACACAGTGGTAGTGGGTGACTTCAGAACCCCGCTCTCACTGATAGACAGGATATCCTGACAAATACTAAACAGAGAAACTCTGGAGTTAAATGACACCATAAACCAAATGGACCTAACAGACATTTACAGAACATTCTACACAAACATCAGAGAATATACTTTTTTTTCTCAGCAGTTCATGGAACTTTCTCCAAAATTGACCACATTTTAGGACACAAATCAAATCTCAACAAATTTAAGAAAACTGAAATATGGCGGGGCGTGGTGGCACATGCCGTTAATCCTAGCACTTGGGAGGCAGAGGCAGGCAGATCTCTGTGAGTTCAAGTCTGGTCTACATAGTGAGTTTCAGGCCAGATGGGGCTATAGGGAGACCCTGTCTCAAAAAGGAAAAAGAAAAAGAAGATTGAAATAGCATCCTGTGTCCTCTCTGAGATGAAGTTAATGAAATAGAAACAAAAACAAGAATAGAAACAAAAACCTTCTTCCTAAAAGGTTAACAAGATTGACATTTAGCCACATTAACCAAAAGGAAGAGAGGACCCAAATTAATAAAATCGGAGATGAAGAAGGAAACGTTAGGAAAAAGTGCTGAGGAAATTCAGAGAATCATAAGACTATACTTTAAGAACCTGTATTCCACCTGGAGACAGATTAGATTGTTGTCCTCCCTCCTCTTTTCCGGTCCCCTTTCCTGGCCCCCTCCCCATCTCTCTGATGGTCAGTAGTGACTGTGAACTTTACAGGATCTAGACTCACCCATGAGCATATCTGTGAGCTAGATTAGTTTAGCCTCTGGGCATGCTGTTAATTGAAGTGGGAAGACTCACCCTAACTGTGGGCCAGATTAAGGAGAACACGGAAAAGCTTTTGCCTGTTGCCTGCCTCCCGTCACCTCTTGTAGGTGACTGCATCTACTCTGTCACTGCCTCACCGCTGCCATTCTTTACTGCCATCAAAACCCAAATTCTTCAGCCTTCCGATGTGGACTGAAAAACAGTGACTCCAGAATCCTCTGGGCCACCAGCACCTGATTAACACTGCTGAAGTACCGAGCCTCACAGACCCAGCAGCTGCTGGGTGCTCAGCTCTCCACTGTGAAGACAGCCATTGTTTGACTACTCAGACTGTATTATGTAAACCAGCATAATAAAGTCCTCCTTTTAAAAAACAAAACTGCAGAGATGACTCAGTGGTTAAGAACACATGCTGTTCTTCCTAAGGACTCAGGTTCGATTCCCAGCACCCATGTGGCAACTTAACAACTGCCCATAACTCCAGTTCCAGGGGATCTGATGCCCTCTTCTGACCTCTAAGGGGCATTACATGACACGGGAGCACCTACAAAAATGCAGGCAAAACACTCATACACAGAAAAATAAAATTTAAAATAAAATGCACCAAGCTTATTTACTTACAAAAAACTACAGTGTGGGAGAGTCAGCCATGGACTGGAAATTAGTCTTTGCTGGCTGTTGGCGACACCTGACGCAGATCCTAAGATTGCCGGCTGAAGATGAAGTCTTACTACAGAAATAGAGAAGAATCCAGAGCTGCCTTTCTACAGAGGAAAAGCAGAGAATGTAAGGAAGAACTACAGAATTGATAGTTTTTGGTGGATGGACAACTACCACCTGTGATTAGAGAGGAAGCTGTGATCAGTTATGAAAGTTTTCTGCAAGGTGGGTGAAAGGCTGGACTAAAGTGCAAGTTTTCACTACACATGTCTTTGTTAAACTCCTTCAAACAGATTCATATGGAAGAATTTCCACCAGGCAGTTCTTTATGTTATGTGACAGGTGAATATGGGATAACCTCATGATCCTAGACCATTAAGTTTCCTAGGGTTCTACAGAAAGGACAGCTGCAGAAGGGTGACCCAGGCCACAACTGGATCAGACCACCCAGCCTCCTGCCCAGATCTTCTTAGTTACTGGAGATTAGAATCCTCACAACCACATTTGGCTTCTCCTTTGTCACTGTAGGAGCCCACTGAGAACTTTTTCTAAAATTATTGCAGGCTTAAAAATAAATAAAATCAGGGTTAGAGAGATGGCTCAGTGGTTAAGAACTGGCTGTTCTTGCAGAAGACCTGAGTTCAAATCCCAGCACCCACATGGCAGCGAACAACTGTCTGTAACTGCAGTTCCAGGGGATGCGACAGCCTCTTCTGTCCTCCTCAGGCATTGCACAACACAGGTACACTTACCTACATGCAGACAATATACACAAACACATAAATTTAAAAAAAATCTTCCCGTTCTGTCCAGAAAGGTTTGAAATCCTCAACAGAAGAATGAACACAGCCAGCAGAAGCCAAGACAAGCATATGAGATGATGTTTTTGATTTTCCTTTTTTTTTTTTTTTTCGGTCTTTTTGAGACAGGGTCTCCCTGTAGCCCCAGCTGTCCTGGAACTCACTATGTAGACCAGGCTGGCCATGAACTCACAGAGATCCGCCTGCCTCTGCCTCTGCCTCCCAAATGACACCACACCTGGCAGATCTTCCTTTTTTTTTACTTGGGCCACAAACTAGAGCTTTCAGGTCCTTCTCAGTCGATCTGAATGATCCTTTTCCTCCTCATGGGTCTATTTGTATTTCAGAAAATCTTTCTACAAAATATTGTCTTTCCAGTACAACCTTATTATTTGAAATACATTTTGTATATTGCATGTATTATAGTTACAGTTTGTATTGTATTTTGCATATTTTTGGGGGGGTTTGAGATAGGGTCTCCCTGTAGGCCAGGCTGTCCTTGAAATCGCAAAGATCCACCTGCCCCTGCTTCCCAAGTGCTGGGATTAAAGGCATGCCCCACCCTGCCTGGCTGCAAGTTCTTTGTTATAATAAATAATCTGTATGTGTTGGCTTGGGAAAAAAAAACTACAGTGCGTACAAAAATATTCAATGAAAAATATAATTTATAATTCAAATTTCCAGTGGAAATCACATGTGGACACTGCCCATTTAAAGACTTATTTTGCTTTGAAAATGTGTTATTTCTTGAGAGAGCATTCAAAGGACTTACACAAAGCATATTGGATATATTAACTCACTATTATGCCTTAAAAAAATCCCTCCTTGTTCTTTCTAAATGTTACAGCAAACCCACTTTGTTTACAAATATATTCACATATACAGTGTAGGTCAGGATCTGCACATGAGGGAAAACGTGGTTTTTATCTTTCTAAGATTGGGTGAACTCAATATTATATGTTGTAGGTCCATCCATTTTCCTGTGAATTTTGTGATACAACTTTTCTTTGGAACTGAATAATATTTTTCTATATGTACTAGATTTTCATTACTCACTCATATGTTAATGGACAGCTCAGATGGTTCCTTTTCTTGTTGTAGTGAATAGAGCAGCATGTGGGTGCAGGTATCTCTGTGGTAAGAGGTGCAGTTCTCTAGGTATGTGCTAAGGACTGAAATGACTGTGCCATTACCAGCTACACCTCAGACAAGGGGCTAATATCCAGAATTTACAAAGAATTGCAGAAACTAAATATCAAGGAAATAAAACTACCAGTCAACAAACGGGCCAATATATTGCTGGACTGGACCGCCCTCTGTGCCAGACAGATACCATCGTCAGGAATTCAGCTGCACCTACTTGCAAAAGATCATCACAGTTGGTCTTGTTGACTGTTGACTTCCTTCATGGGGCGGGGAGGGTAGGGTGAGTCATGTGACCTTCACCTGTGTATCCAGTCACTCATCCCAACCAGTTGTGTCTAATTCTGTTCTAATTGCCCATGGCTCAGTGTCTCAGGGAAGGGCTAGAGGAGGGGGCTCATCTATGCAGCCACCAGCAGCCATTGTCCATGCTGGGTGCAGACCTTCCAGTGCGGCTGGTTTGTCACCCATGCCCGTAACTCTTCACTCTTGCTCTGTAAATACACCTCATAAACTCGTTTCCCCAGGGTGAACTGTGATGGAATCATACCTTACCTTGTCATTAGGGCCTTAGGAGGAGGGGGTAGACATTGTTAACTCGGTTCTTAGGTATTGATCTCAGGTTGTCAGGCTTGGTGGCAAGTCTTTTTACCCACTGAGCCATCTCATGATCCTCTCAATTTTTGAGAGGGTCGCCCTGTGTAGCTAAAGTTGGACCCTAGAACTATGTAGCCCAAGCTGGCCTCCAACTCATGATCTTCCTCCTGCATGGACCTACCTCAGTACTGGTATTACAAACACGTGCCAGGACTCACAGCTTGTACCTCGTTTTTCCATTGCTAGCTCAAGGCCTGAGCATCGAGCATGCTTAGCAAATACGAGGTGGCTGGTGAAGGCAGACAGTCCTTTCTTCTCTGGGTCTAAACCTCCCACTTTACTGAGGACAGCCTACTGCTTCATAAATAGATGAAAGGATGCCTGTAGCAAGGAATGTTTAACACAGGCTTTTTTTTTTCTTCCCCAAAGACAAAAGCTTTATTCCAACTGGGTCATTTTCAGAAGATCTCGGTCTTGGGTTAGCATCACAGCCTCGTGGATGCTCTGCGTGATGTAGTCTATGTTCCTGGCGTTGATGCAGGTGAAGTTGATCCTACTGTTCTTGGGGATGTAGATATGCTTCTTCTTGATCAGGAACTCCACCTGCTGGTCTGTGAGGAGCACAGGACCTCAGATCTCAGAATTCCTCTCAAACCCAGGCATAATTAGACAGGACAAGACTTGTCAGCATCCCTGGGGTCCTATGAAGGTCTTTAAAGCAGCTCCACTTTCCCAAGGATCTGAAGAAAACCTGGGGCAAGGCTACGGACTGGTCACCTTCTCAGTGCAGTTCAATGTTAAAATACAGGCCTAGAGTCAGGACGTGGAGCACCGCCCCCTGCTGGCACTTACGGTTCAGTTCCAGATAGCCATGAGTCCCACTCTGTTCAGTGATATGATTCCAGGACCCAGGGGTGCCCAGCAGCCGGAGCTTCTCCTTCACCTTTTCCTTAACCAGCATGATGTTCTCCACAACTGCTTTTAGACTCTGCTTCCTGCCAAGGAAAGTTATCAGGGAGAGAGATAGAGAGTATGTGTGTGTGTGTGTGTGTGTGTGTGTGTGTGTGTTTGACAGTGTGTGCATGTGTGTGTATTTGACAGTGTGTGCGTGTGTGTGTGAGTGTGCGTGTGTTTGTGTGTGTGTGAGTGTATGTGTGTGTGTGAGTTTGCGTGTGTGAGTGTGTTTGTGTGTGTGAAGCCTTCCCCACTTCCGGCCTCCTTATTGCTGTTTGCTTCTTCACCCCCGTCAACAGTCCCAACTGAGTGCTCCAAAGCACACGGGTGAGCCTGGGCTCCCTGGTGCTTATGATGGGTTGGAGCTTTAATCTTGCTATAGTTTGGATCTTAAATGTTTCCTAAAGGCCGATGTGTAAAAGGCTGTGTCACTATTGGTTGGCAGTGGAACCTTTAAGAAGCAAAGCCTAGTGGGAGAAAGGTCGTTGGGGCATATCCCTGGAGGCTCTGCAGGGACTCATGCTCTTTTATTTTTTCTATACTTGCTTTCTGGACACCATAAGGTGAGCAACTGTTCCCTCTTCTATGTACCATGATGTATTGCTTCACCATAAGCCCAAGCAACAGTGTTAACTGAGACCTCCAAAACTGGGCCAACATAAAACTTTCTTCTTTTCAGGTTAATCATCTCAGGTATTTTGTTACAGTAACAGAAAGCTGAGTAATATAGACCCCATATTAATTTAAGTATGCAAAGTAGGCTCCCAGACAGATTTTGCCAGCATAGCTTGTGTGTGTGTGTGTGGTGTGTGTGTGTGTGTGTGTGTGTGTGTGTGTGTGTGTGTGGAGGAGACTGAGAGAATCCTGAACTGTTCTTGTAATTTCTCTATAGCTATAAAATTCGAGATTTTAAAAATACTGTCAGTAAAAGTTAATTGTGGGGCAGTCGTTTTTCTATCATCTCTCTCTTTCCTTCCCTCCTTTCATTTCCTTCTCCCTCCTCCCTCCCTTCT